GGGTGGGCCTAGGCCCTATCCCAAAAGATATGATAGACTCTGATGACACCCTATGGAAGGCCTCACCATCCGGGGGAGGAGAAAGGATGTGTGTTAGGTAGGGTTTTAGTTGTGTGTGTGTGGGGGGGGGTAGTAGGGGAGGACAGGAGGGAGAAGGGAACTGGGATTGTCATGTAAAACAATCTTGTTTCTAATTCAAATAAAAACTGTTAAAAAAAATCTTTCTGTTATTTGACATCCCAGATGAATGATTGAAATGTAAGAGAGAGGATTCGGTCCCCAGTATATGAGAAAAGAGTGAGGCAAGCTTGTAAAGTTGAATAATGAATACTTAATTTCAAAAATCCCCATCCATAATGTGTCGCTTGTCCTGGTCCTGGATGGACTGACAAATCAATGCTTTCTTAAACTTGTGCTTATAATTATAGTACGCCACAAAGATTAGATGCATATACATTGCATTTTTTTTTTTACATACACTATGAGATGTTTGTACAACAGACACAATGGAACAAAAATCTATAGCTCCTTGGAGATGGGGAAGTGCCAGGCAGACAAGAGAGCATCCCATGTGATGGAACAATACTGTATCTGGTTGACCTTTGAATCAAGCATTGTGACTCAGCCTCACTGGCTGGATTCTTGGTGAGGTAGTGTCTTATTTATTTATTTATTTATTTATTTATTTATTTATTTATCCATTTGTTTGTTTGCTTTCTGACTGAGCTATACATTTTCCCACACTCTCCTTCCCTCCTTCCCTCTCCCCAGTAGCTTCCTTCTTGACTAATGAACAAAGGATGCATAAGAGAGTCCTGAGGCTGAGTGTGGTTTAGAAAACACAGCCTTTGGGGATGGAGAGATGGAACCGTGGTTGAGAGCACTGACTGTTCTTCTAGAGGACCTGAGTTCAATTCCCAGCACCCACATGGCAGCTCATAACTGTCTGCAATTCCACTTCTAGGGGATCCAACACCTTTATACCAATGCATACAAAATAAAGTTAAACAAATTATTTTTTCAAAAAAAGAAAGAAAACACAGACTTTAACTCCTAAAATGATCCTGCAACCTGAAATGCTGCTTGAAATAGAAACTAACAGTGGGAATTACTTGTCGGCTTTCACTTCCTTCCTTCTTCGGTTGTCTTAAGGACTTTTAGCCCTCATTTTCCCCATTAGTCCACACTTCCTGCCATGCCGTCCCTAGCTGTCTGTACTCTTGCAGGGAGGCAGATGAAAAAAAAAAGTTTTGAGACAAGGTTTCACTATGTATTCTTGATTGGCCTGGAACTTTCTATGTAGACCAAGGTGGCATTGAATTTGCCTGGGAAGTAGCGCCAGGAGGATTATGAGTTTAAGGATAATCTGGGTTACATAGAGTGACCCTGTCTCAAAAACAAAAGTGAGACTCTATTTCACATACTTCTCAGAATGGTCTTGGTAAGTATTGAGAATTCAATCCAGCAAACACTCACTACTGCCAGCCAAGTTGAGTAGATCAGAGAGTGCTCATCCATCAGTGGGACCACAGAACAGGCTGTGCTTCCAGAATACTTTATCCCAAACGGTCCTCTCTACG